AGGTAGTTCTTACCTGGTTTTCTTAAAATTAGTTAAATGCAACATCAGATGAACAACACATTCACTGTGTAATTATATATTCACCCCCCAAAAAATAAACTGCAGACGCGGTGAATAGAAAAATTAGGTAGACTGCATAATTTTAGAGCTTTTATCAGCAATAATTTGAAGTAATCATTTTCTGTATGACTAGAGTGGAGTAAAAATTCCTCCACAATTTTTACATTTTGTCAGTTAATTTTTTCCCCGTTCATTGCGCTTTGTGGGCATTCAACTCTCATCTTCATGCCGTAGCATTTCAAAGTCTGTTGTTGACCTACTGGTGTGCTTGGGGTCATTTTCATTGTTGCATAACTGAAGTCTGACTAAGTTTTAGCTGTTGGACAGATTTAACCTCACATTTCACTCAAGAAATAGTTGGTATATAAAGGTGTTCATGGTAGACTCAGTGACTGCTCAACAAACCCAATGATCACCCCTTGGTGTTTGTTGTGTCTCCATGTGTGGCACTGTGCATTCAGATACGGTTTTTAAAAGCTAGGCAATGCTGCCATGTTATTTTGAGAGAGAGCAAATGGGCTGGTACTTAGTGTTTTTTAAATACATTCAAAGCACTTTCTACGACAAATCATGCCTAAGCACTTTCAAACATTCACACACACTGTGGTGGATGTATCCTGGTCATCTTGGGGTTCACCATCTTGCCCAGTGATGCTTCAGCAGTCAACCAGTTGCTTTAAGATAATTGCTGATTACTTTCCTCCTTTCAATTGTGTTAACACAATGCCAAGACTTTTATAGGGTTGGTCAAATGTGCTGATGAGCTGCTACCAAGTTGTTGTTTTTTTTGTAGGGACAAGGTAAAAAGCTTGGGCGTGTGGTTCGACATGGTGCTCTCTTTCGAGTCTCATGTAAAAGAGATAACAAAGACCGCCTTTTATCATTTGAGGAACATCGCCAGAATCAGACAAGTTTTGTCAAGCGACACTGCAGAGGTTCTTGTCCATGCATTTGTGTCCTCACGCATTGATTATTGTAATGCTCTTCTTTCTGGGCTACCAAAGAAAAGTTTTAGAGGTCTACAGATGGTACAAAATGCAGCTGCTCGCATTTTAACAAGAACTGGGAAATTTGAGCACATTAGCCCTGTACTGAACTCTCTTCATTGGCTACCTTGTCAGGTTCAAGCAGATTTTAAGGTCCTGCTGCTCACCTACAAGGCTTTAAACAGACTGGCACCTTCATACGTCTCCGACCTTTTACATCTTTATGTTCCATCCCGTGCTCTCCGATCTCAGGACTCTGGCCTTCTAAAGGTTCCTAGAGCCAGAAAAAAAGACTATTGGAGAGCGTGCTTTTTCTTTTCGTGCCCCGTTTCTGTGGAACACCCTCCCTCAAGATATTAGGCAGGCATGCTCTGTTTCCGGTTTTTAAAACTAAGCTGAAGACACATTTGTTCACCCTATCTTACAAGTCTTAATTCTATGGCTTTCAGTTTTAAATTTTTACTGTTTTTAACTTGTATTGTGTCTTTTACCTGTATTGCTATGTATTGTTTTTATTTATTTTTTATCTTTTTAGTTTCAAATAGTTGTACAGCACTTTGTTTGAAAGCGCTTTATAAATAAAGTTATTATTATTATTATTACCTTACAGAAAATAAGCCAAAATGGAAAACAGCGCGTACAGAAATTATGATGCATTTCATATATTGTAATGATCTAACGAATTAGACACCCTCGGATGCCCTTTACTAATTAAGAAATGCTAAGGACCAGAATCTTTTATTATGCCCTGACATGTAAAACCTTATAATTTAAGGAGGGTATACTGTCTTTTTATTGTGACTGTATATTTTCCATAATTCAGAGGTAGTTTCCCCAATCATGCTCATGCCTCAAGCTTCCTTATTTGGAAGAAGGGGAAATGAATTTTTATTTAAAAAAACAAAACAAAACAAAACATGTTTAGCTTGAATTAATAGTTGACTGACAGTACATTTAAGTAAGCTTTACTTAGAAATTGTGCAGCTAGCCCTGCAAATGGTGACCTGTCCATGGTGTGCCTCTCACCCTGTGAGAGCCAGGATAGGCACCAGCCGCTGTCTTAAAAGTTAATATCCTTCTCTAGACAAATGACTTCTCTGGGCTTTAAAACACTTTCTGTTTTTTAACAGGTGGTAGGTAGAAACCTGTGGATGTTAGAGGAAATGAGTTAAAATTGCCACTTTGATTAATGTAACAAAAGGTACACTTTAATTAGACTTAAATAAAACTGAAAAAATCTCACCCACCCTGGTCCTTTCACAACAATCTCTATTACATATGGTGCCTTTTTATCTGTTTTTCTGTACATACTTCTTTTTACATAGTATGTACAGTGACAGTGTACATTTGATCTATGTGGAGTGTGTATTTCTGAGTCAGTGAGCTGTATAGACACACTATGACTTTCAGCTGTATTATGGAAAGAAACACATCCAAATTGAGATTCACAGTCAAACATCACCATGTGTGAAAAGATACGCAGACACACTTGTGCAATAACACAAGCGCTCATCTTCGGGAGGCATTAAGCAAATATCCTTAAATAAATACAAAATAAATTAAATCATATAAAAGAATGTGTTAAAAAATAAAAAAAGAAATTCTGTTACATATTAAAACAAATCGCAAACACAAGTAACAACAGTACTTGCTCATAGACAAAGAGCACAAAGAGTACAGATGGCTACAATCTGTAAACAATTATGGACAGAAGGACAAACATGCATGGAGACAGACACATCCACATGTCATCAGTGTGTAGAAAGGACTAGTGGACCTAAGGTGGTGGTGGATGAGGACTTTTTCTCTGGGATGGGAGTATTATGGAAGAGCTGTCACTTCTCACTTCCCGGTCAAGAGGTATGGGCTGCAGTGCTGTGTTTGACAGCATTATTGGCAGTGCTGCTATCAGCTGCTTTCCTGGATGTGTTGCTCATAGATGGCTCGGGACTAACTGAACAGCACCAAATTCTATGGCAGAGTGAAAGGACATGAGCGTTTCATCAAAATTTCCAGAGTGCAAGGTCATTTACATTTTTTCCACACCAGAAACCACTGAAGGTTACTATTTTGCTCGCACTATAACTGTGTACAAGTTTTACTGTAATTGTATGGTGATAACATAGCCATCGTTGATACAGGAAGAATTAAAATATTCTCCCAGTTACACAAATACCTGCTTAAGGCGAGACACTACCGTTAGTGTTTTTGTGTTATTTTGGTTTCATAGTATGTCTTCTTTCAGAATAGTGGAAAGAATACAAAAAGATATACACATTTAGATTTATTTTTCTGCACTGGACATTTATGCAAATGTTTCACAATGCAGAATTTCTCAAATGTGAGTTCTCTCAGTCAGATACCGGGCAACTCAGTGTTCAATATTATTTGAGACATGCACAGGAGGAGCCAGAGATGTATCCACCAATCTTTCAGATAGACACAACTCTACTACCTGACACACAGCTGCCACAACTACAAGCTGTCCCAGGTGGGCTCTCATCCATGTACTGACCAGACCAGAAGTCGAGCTTATGTGTGCTCAGGGTGGAATCGCCTCATGCTATCAGTAGTGACACTGAACCTAGTGTCTGTAATATACAGTGATCCATACACTGCTTAAAAAAATTAAAGGTACACTTTGAAACCACATCAAGTCAACTCAGTGGGGAAAAAAAGTCATGTTGGGTATTTATTTTAATATGGACTTGGTAATGGTAGGAATTGAAGAATGCCACATCATTTGAGGGAAATAAAAATTGTCAACATATAGAAGGCCGAATTCAAAGATGCCCCGAAATCAGAGTTTAAAAAATGATGCAGCAGGTTAGTCCATTTCGCAGAAATTTCATTGCCGCAACTCAAAATGCTGCAGTATTTTAATAGTTTGTATGGCCCCATGGCCCCCTTAACACCATTGAGGCATGCTCCTAAAGAGAAGACCGATAGTGTCCTGGAGGATCTCCGTCCAGATCTGGACCAGAGCATCAATGGGCTCCTGTTTTGTGTGGACTGAAACATAATGTCCCAGAGGCGTTCTATCCTTCACCCACCAACAACTGGGGAGGAAACCAGGACCCACTCCACCAGCGTAGGGTCTGACAATCGTTCCAAGGCTTTCCTCCCGATACCTAATGGCAGTCAGGGTTCTGTTGCCTAGCCTGTAGAGGTCCCTGTGTCCGTCCAAGGATATGCATTTGCAGACAGTCACCACTCACCACCAAACTGGTCATGATGAACAATATTACAGGTTCTCCATGGCTTCTCCAGACCCTTTCATATCTGTAACATGTGCTAGTGGTGGACTTGCAAATTCTGGTATTCAATGGCAAATGCCAATCGGACTCCCTGGTGCCAGGCAGTGACCACAGGGCCCACTAGAGGACGTCAGCCATCCTCATGAAATCTATTTCTGACTGTTTGGTCAGAGACATTCCCACCAGTGGCCTGCTAGAGGTCATTTTGTAGGGCTTTGAGTTGTCCTACTGGTGGATCTCCTGAAGTAAGTACTTGTCTCCTGGAACCTCCAGACATGGCAAATTTTCTGGCAATGGCACGTATTGATGTGCCATGTTGGTGGAGTTGGACTACCTGTGCAGCCTCTAAAAGATGCAGGCATTGCCATTGTCACCAATAGTGACAATGACCTTAACCAAATGCAAAACTAGTGGATATAAACAGTCAGAAAAGACAAGGAGGGGAAAAAATGTCATTCACCTGCAAAGCCAGGTGAATGACAGAGGGTGGTCAGAGGGCCCGGTGGCGCCTGTGTCCGGCAGCCTCGCCTCTGTCAGTGCGCCCCAGGGCAGCTGTGGCTACAATGTAGCTTGCTATCGCCAGTGTGTGAATGTGTGTGTGAATGGGTGGATGACTGAATGTAGTGTAAAGCGCTTTGGGGTCCTATGGACTAGAAAAGCGCTATACAAATGCAGGCCATTTACCATTTACCATTCCTGTTTTGGGTTTTTTCTCACAGACGCTCCTCTAGTGCACCTAGATTTAATGAAATGTTAATTGAAGTAACATCAAAACAATTGATACAACCTTCTCTGCTACTTAATCTGACCAGCTCACTGTCACAGAAGTTGGTTGACTTGATGCTATACTCTGATTCAAAAGCATCCCTTTAATTTTTTTAGAGGACTGTATATGAGGAGATTGAGCTTTTAGTGTGCAAGATTTCTTTTAACCATTTTCACTTTGTTCAAATGTGGAAACTCCACTTTAATAACCCTTTTTAAACAGATTCAGGGCTTTCTATGCGTCATTCAGAGTCTAGTTTGTGATAAAGTATTGCAGAAGATGAAATAGTTGTCTCCTGAAAAAGTATTCTCCTGTACTGTCACTCATCTTACCTGGTCTGACCTTTAGTTCTTTAATTCCAGACTTTTCAAGATCTGCATGTTGGAAGTAACTTGTTATGTTAACATTTCTCAACAGTGAGCCACATAAACAGCCAACTTTTTTTCATAATGCGGCATACAAAATGTTTTGTTCAATTCAGACCTCATGTGTAGCACGTACTAACAATTATAGTGATCAGAGCAGTCACATCCAAAAAAACAAGGAGTCTGTGAGCTAGTGTTCATGCTCTCTTCACAAATTGTCTAATTAGTCAGAAAGGTTGTCACATTATCTTTTTCTTTAAAACGACAGGTGTTTAAATCATGTTTAATTATTACTTGTTATTAAACCCTGTCTTTCTTCCACAGCGTCTTTTGTTATCGCTCACTCAGCTCTGTTTTTTCCCTTTACTCCCAACCAGCTACAGATGGCTGTTCCTTCTACCAGAGGGTTCTTCCTCCTCAAAGAGATTTTTCTTCCCACTGTCATTAAGTGCTTGCTCTTAGGGGGTAGCCTGATTGTTGGGAATTTCTGTCTATCATTGTAGGGTCTTTACCTGACAGTATACAGTGCCTTGAGGCGACTATTGTTGTGATTTGGTGCTACATAAATAAAATGAAATTGATCTGTGTTTGATTGTTGCAGTCACACACAATGCAGCACGCAGTGTGTTTGAACAGCAGCTTTGTTCTCACTGGCAGCAAACAAAAATTCAAAATGTTTTCAGCTGCCATAACTTGACCCGATCCCTGTGCCGATGATTTTTACTGCTCTATAACTGTTTGGACAGTACTGAAGATTGCAGAAAGTGGAATCCTCTGGGACACTGGTGTACGCTGAAGTAGGAAAACACAAAGGAACATTATGTAATAAGCAACAAGGAGTCAACCTTTGAGGTCAGAACTCCAAGAACTAAAATGAACCTTTGAATCTAATGAATTGAGATCTTTCCTAAATCCCTCCTATTCCTCTACCCTAAGTGTATACTGTAGAAATGTATGTGAAGGCACACACTGTATTGTCATGTGAAAACCTTGTAACGCTAATATAAAACACAAGTGTTAACTACGCCTGGAGAAACAGAAAAATAGCAGTTTCATCTGAAAATGCTGAATGGACATATTCAAATCAAGGCAGTTTTCTGATGCTTTTAGGAAAGTAAACACATTGGAGATTAAGCATCCAGCAGCAATAAAATGTGTATTTCGATGTTCTTGTGCTGGACAGTACTGAAATGTGATGGAGCAAGTTAAAGGGAGTGCGGAGGAAGCAGGAGTGAGTGAGTATGGAGGATGACTGTGTGCAGCTGGGGGTTATAGGATTCCATCCATGAAACTGGTGTCTAGCCGCTGGATGAGCACCCGGATAAAGGACATCTCCTTGCGAGTATTTTCAAAGATGACCCTAGGATCATCAGACTGGCAGCGCAGACAGTTGGGAGCCATAACCATGGCCAGGTTGTTCACATCCATTTTGGTGATGGCCACATTAGCAGGCTGGGCAAATACCTAGACAAACACAAGGAAAGATCTCTATCTAATAAATGCAATAACATTTCAAGGTCTTAAGCATACTGTGATGATCTGGCAGGCATAATATTACAGTGCTGGAAAAAGATTATGTTTTGTGTTTCTCTAAAGCTCATATCTGATCATGGTCATTTAATTTGGCAACACTATGTAAATGTGACTCCCATTGTGCTGCAGCTTTTTTGTTTTAACAACAGTTCTCAGCTTTTCAGAACTGTTGAGACCAACTGCTGTAATTTTAAAAGCCAAATGTTTTCAGATTCTTTAAATAAAATGTCATAGTATTCATAGTTTTCCATAGTCTCCTTTGTTGTAGTTTCTGCCAAAATTCACAACACATTTTCAGTGGTAATAGATCAGTTTAGTGTGGATTGGTATTAAGATAACCAAATATCAGATATGTTACTCAAAACTGTTATACATCATTATATATCATTCAGAAAAACTTGAAATGTGCACTCTTTATAAATGGTTGTTCTTGACTCAGTGATTTCCACAATCACAGAACAGTTGTTAGAGAACAGTTTTCCACTCAGTCCATCTCAAATAAGCTTGGGCCCAGGCAGAACACACCGTTTCTGGATTATACCTGTTGCAACACAAATACTCAAAAGTAGATGATGAAATAGCAAAGTTCTTTGCAGGTTTACACTAAGAATCATTAACATTATCAGTCTTTTATCTGCTCTACATACATTCTTCTTTATAACTCACCCGCTCTCAGATGCTGTTTTAATATCCAGTCACGTTCAGTTCAATTCAACTTTATTTATTTGGCAGCAAATCACAACAACAGTTGCCTCACGGTGCTTTATTTATTCATAACCAGGACTAGGGAGGGGCATGTACGGTGGGGATGGTAGGTGGTAGGATGACAGATGTTGTGAAGGAGGGCGTGTCCCATTTTGACCTTGGGACTTCCAGGTCACAGATGTTAGAAGTGAAGAAGTTTCTCGGATGAGAGAGGTGAAACGTCTTCAAGAAACTTAAAGAAGTTCAGACGCTTTTCTTTCCAAGCTCCTTAGACAACCCAGAACATAAGTCCAGAACTACCTCAGCAAAAAAGAACAAGATGGTAAGCTTGAAAACATGGAGCAGCCAGCACAGCCTCCAGACTTAAACCCCATCAAGATGATTTGGGATGAACTGGACAGAAGAGTGAAAGCAAAGCACGCTACAACTGCCAACATTTATGGGAACTTCTACAACAGATAGGGAAGAAGCTTCCGAAGAATATTTGATTTCTATTGTAGACAGAACGCCACGGGTGTTTTTAGCTGTTACATCTGCCAAAGGTGGCAACTTTGATGAGTCAGAAGTTTAAAAAACATTTTGGTTTATAAATTGATTTCTTTTTTAACTCCAACTGCTTATTTGTACGATGCTTTCATTTCAGAGTGCAATGAGACATTAAACTCCATAATTTTTTAATTAAAACCTAGAAACCTGGAAACCTTTTACCAGTAGTGTATATGATCATATTTAAGACTGAAACAATAATTAATGGTAGGACTTCTTTGAGCAGTCTTGTGGGAATGAGGTCTAAAAGACTCATTGATGGTTAGGAGGAAGTAATGACTGAAGTTAATTCAGAAAGATCAAGAGGAGAAAGAGTCTAAATACATATCAATGGTACCGAAAGTAGCTGGACATAATGTTACATCAGTAAGATGGTTATGAATATTTTTTTATTTAATGTTTAAAATTTTATATCTCTGACTCTCTCGCACCTGGAATCATCCGTCCCTCTTCTTCACCATTTGGTGTTTCTTTTTGGTTGAAAAGAAATACAAAACTCTCCATCCCTGTATTTATTTCACTGGTCTGAGAAAAATCACAATTTAAAAACAAATACCAGTTTCATTTGTCGTCTTCTGAACCAGATGGTTGGCTTGATGGTTTTGGAGAACAATCTTCTCCAAAAGTATCTGGTAATGCAGCGTCCCTTCTGTGTTTAGGGGCTCTTGTTAACAGCATTCTGTGAGATTTCCTTAACTACTTCACCTTCACCTATCTCAGTGACATCTTGATCTTCTCAGAGTCAGTCCAGGAACATGAAAGCCTTGTCTGACAAGTGCTTCAACAACTTCTTGGGAACAAGTTCTACGTTAAAGGTGAGAAGTGCGAGTTCCACGCAGAACTTTTGTCATTGCTTGGTTTCATTGTGAAGAAAGGACAAATAAAGGCTGATCCAACAACAGAGGCAGTAGTTCTCCCATCTTTACTTCTAAGAAACACTCTCTCTCTAAGGTACTTTTTATACCCAGTCATAATACTGATGATTAACTTGATTACTTGCAAATGTTCATCCTTTCTAGTATAACATACTTTTTAAACCTTTTGTTACCCCTGTGCCAACCTTCTTGAGGTGTGTTGCTGCCATTACATTCACAATTAGCTAATATCTTTATTAAAAGTGAAAAACGTGTCTAAGTTTGAACATTTGATATATTTTATATGTTCTATTGTGAATAAAATATGGGTTTATAAAATTTGCAAATCATTGCATTCTGTTTTTATTTATTTCACACAGCATCCAAACCTTTGTGGATGTGGGGTTGAAGTATAAGTTGTGCTAACATGTCTCTATTCAGGTCATAGTAGTCTAAGGAGTCTAAGGAGCTTGGAAAGAAAGCAACTTCTTTAAATTACTTGAAGACGTTTCACCTCTCACGCTTCAGTTATAAAGTCCCAGGTATTTAAATCCTAGTTAGGGTTCAAATATACGGACTACAGAAACCACCCATGCTTTAACTTGAGATGCAATCCGGACTGCTTCCCAAGAGATTGCACCTTGAGTCTACAGTCAAGGGACAAGAGCTGAGGCAGATCTTATAGAGAGCAAAGTAAGTAAGTATGAAGAGCACTCCAAAGTGAGATCAACCTGACCCTGCAGGAACTCACAAAACTTCTACCTTCTCCCATTTAATAAGAGGTTTGTGGACAAGGCACAGTTGGCACAACACACGAAAGAGAAAGAAAGACAACTCCAGAAATTCCAACACGCCAAACCAAAACTTACTACTTTCAATTAATGCCCAGACTAAAACGGAAAGACTTCACAACCAAAGACAGCCAGGTACGTCAAGCACAACTTATCAAGCTCAGCTTTACAAATCTGATAATTTTACTATCCAAAAACCTTTCTGTGCGCACAAATGTCTGTGCAGATAACCATTTGTAAATTTTAGTTTACGCTTGTGGATCATATCGTACACATTTGCAACCCTTTTGAGGCAAGTTGTGTATAAATGACCAGTATTTATTCAGGTTTGGGCATACATATTTTTAAAATGGTTTCATATGTGGTCAAATTGCTTTGTATTTGAGTCTGAATTGAAGCACATGCTTGTGAGTCTTCAAAAGTTAAACACAAATCACTGCACGCGTTCATAAATCTTCATTTATGTTTGTGGACCATACTGTACATATTTGTAACCCTTTTAAAACACCTTTCTCTTCTATCTGCCAGAACGAAACGTGTACGGGACGGACAGGACTATAAATCCCACTTCAGCTGTACATCTGGAAAATGGTAAACGGTAAACGGACTGGTTGTTACACAACTTGCCTCATTCACCCATTCATACAAGCACTTTTTGCTATGCTTGTTCTATCTAAGTGTTTTCTATCTACTATTTACACACATTCATACTCTGATGTATGCCTCAGAGAAGAACTTGGGGTTAGTATCTTACCCAAGCATATTTGGCACTTTGACTGGAGCAGCCTGGGATCGAACCACCAACTTTACAATTAGCAGATGACCTGCTCTAAGTAAAAAGGTCAGTCTTGGGATGATGCAAAGGTTCAAATTTTGGATGGAGAAGACTGATGTTTTGACATAGAAGAAAAATAGGCCATATATGTCCACTGTGAATGACCACCTTTGAACAGAGTGGGTGGTTTATGCCATCAGCTGTCAGCCCCCTACAATTCAGTCTCGAGATCCCTTCCCAGGTGCCTAAACTCATGTTGCATGAGGTGATCTCAACAGGTCACATGACAGGGTGAGGCAAAGTCTCACACTAGTTTCACCTGAAACCAGTGTAATGACCCATACCTTTTTTCACACACTGGCAGATGTGCATGATTAATAGTAAGTCAGGTTAAGGGACAGTCCCCACTAGGTTTAAATCCCTGGGATTTTCCACCATTTGGTTTTAGAAATTAAGAAGCCTCTTCGATGAGAGGTGGAATGTGTTCAAGAAATGTTAAAAAGTCCACTCGCTTTCTTTCCAGCTCCTTAGACAAGCTGTGCTAACCTGTGCATATTTGTGTTACCTGTAGGAATCGAATGAGATAGCAGAGCACCAGTTTGTTGATATGTGGCAGGCCCAGCACCACACCGACAGCTGCTTCTGGGTTGTCATAGTGAGTGATACACTCCTCATAAAACTCGTGAGGGATAAGCGGTTCTTCGAGCTCCCTGTACCAAAGTTTCAGCAGAGAGGCTGCAGATACAGAAGAGGACACCAAGTGAGACTTCTAAGAAAGCACTTATTCAGGAATGAAAGTCATTTGAACATCTCATACTACTGCAGGCGGATCATATCTGGGCTGCAGAGACACAGTGTTCAGTAGCACTATTCAACAGTGTGTATGTGTACCAGGAATGTGTGGGTCTTCCAGTCCTGTAGGGATTTTCCATTGATCCACTTGCAGCTTGAGGGCATTGACTTCATCTATGTCCCCTGGTACTCTGGAGATCAAATATCACAGGATATTTACACTTCCGGCCCTCTTCTTATGCTACATAGTTGTTTTGCATAAAGAGTGTGAGAACCAGAAACACAAGGATGTACAAGAGCTTCATCTCAGACATGCAGAAAGCAGATACAACACACACAACCTGCTGACCACATAACTGCTCACAAAGACTTGTAGCAACTCTTATAAAAACACAAATGTTTCTTCATCATTTTTGAAATGCATTAAAAATATGTTGAAAACTGACACATAATTGTGGCTAGAAGAGAAATCTGATATCCAAATGTATGTATTAAAAGATTATATGTCATTAACTTGCCCAACTTTGCACTTCTTTCCTTTGAGTTTTAAACTGACTGTTTGTCAGCCCTTAAAACTTAACCTGGTTGCAAACGTGGTTGCAACATGATGCAACATGACAAGCTCCACATTTTGACCAAGACTTATGTACTTTAAGAGCATGTGACCAAGAAATTATTTATAGTAAGATTTTGCATGGTTCCACTAACTAATGACACATTAAATAGTCATTAAATGCTTCACAGAATTTAATGTCTGTAAAGCATTAATTTTATTTTGTTTCATTTTTTTCCCCTCACATCTGTTTTCATACTGTGCAGTCTTCTATCATCTATTTGGTCCCATTAGCTCCCTTCCTCACTCACCTGAAAATGCCTTCTGTTTGGTCTCCATTGAGACACAGAACCTCTTCAGAGAGGCGAGTCTGTACCCATGGCAATTGGCGGTCTGGATATCGCTCCTTCTGGAGTGCCATGACCTCCTCAAGGGAGGACCCAAACATGGAAGGGTTGAAGATGGCGTTCCTGGCATGCTTGATTTCCTCTATGCAGGGTTTCTGCACACCCTGAAAAAGTGTGACAGAAACGCACACACAGACACACACAGATAAGTTACTGCAGGGCAGCTGAGGCAGAGCTGAGAGCATTTTGAGTACTAAAGGAACATTCAAAAGTATCAAGTATTAAGATGTCAGTGAAAAAAATCCACAAATATAGTTAAACAGTACTTGAGCGATTATGGATTTTGGCGATCTCTACACGTCAACCATGGGAACATACTTTCTTCTCGCATGAGTTTACTTTCTAACTCTCGTCTGGATTATTTCCTAGTCAGCAGCTCACTGTTGAGTGACATTTCAGACACTGAAATACACCTTATACCTGTCAAGGATCATGCTCCCTTGTCTTTAATTCTAATACATAAGTAGGTCATTCAGCCAAGTAAAAACTGGAAATTTAACACATTATTGCTTATAAATGAAGATATTATTAAATATTTTAAAAAAGAGTGGGCTTTATATTTAGACTATAATGACCTGCCTGGAACATCAGTATGTGGTCTCTGGGAGGCAGGAAAAGCTGTGATGAGAGGAAAAATAAGTTCATTCTCATCTCATCAGAAAACAAATATATATTCACCACAGATGAGCTCATCTAAACACAAAACTGATCTGTTTCCAAAATTATTAGACATTAGGTTATAGCGATCAAGGGTATAAAATGTGTAATAAACCTTCTTAAGAGCTTTAGATTATTAAATAAACTGGCTGAAATGTACAGTTCTTCCAATTGCTCCTTCCATTTCTTCCTCATTAATAGTCAGGTATTGTTTCTCCTAGGCTTACAGATTTAAATACACTAAACTACATACTACATATTTATGAATATATTTATACTCATAAATATCATGTCTATATGTTCTTCTTTTGCAGGCTGCATCACTGAAATGAACATTTGTGTCAATAAAGACTAGGTTGAAAAGGGGAAGTAAAAACATGTGGACAGACGGCGCTCCGTACCTTCTTGGCTCCAGTGAGTGCAGCTTTTGTCAGTTTCCTGTAGCAGTATTTAGCATAACTGCTAATGGCCACACCTTGAGCAACAGAAAAAGACAACATATTAACAACATTAGGAGACTGTTTTAGTTGTCTTAAATTGATTCATTAGCACGACAACAACTCAAACATTCTTCCAATCTGTGGAGATTCTGTATCTCACGATGTCAATCACTGGTGTTGGATTACCATTTTGTAGATTTGATTATGGCGCTTTGGCTGTTGCCATCTGAGATTTGAAGTAGGAAGTGTCCATAGGTGGATGACAAGGTGGAGCTGGTGAATAAGGCTTCAATGCTCAAGCCAGCGCTCAATATATGTACATCAATGATAATTTGCTTCGGAGAACCACTTCTAATTTCAATAATTGCTTAGGCAATGGCAGCAACTATTACTGTGTTTTGAAAAAGCAAAATGAAATAAAAACTTAGTACAACAACAGTAATTGTAATCTCTGACTAAAAGAGAGATGGAGCATCAGTTGTTTATGAGAGACTTTAAAAATAGTGCTGAAAGTAAATCTGACAGCCATAGTGACTGTCTGTATTTTGTTGCAATTTACAAGAGGTCACCCAAGGGAAATAGCACAAGAAGTTATACTCAAGCTAAGGCTTTGTTACAGGAACATTTTGGAAATGGATCGTCAATGAAACCGAGCTCGTTAAATCAGAGGACGTTAAGGTACTTCAGGACTACAGTTTACTTCTTAGAGAAACGGTAAATGTTAAAAGAACTGATTCCTACTATGGTGCCAAAAAATGTTTGCCCCCTTCCTGATTTCCTAGTGTTTTGCATATTTGTCACACTTACATGTTTCAGATTATAACCCAAGTAAATACAAAATGCAGTGTTTAAATGATGATTTCATTGATTAAAGGAGAAAAGTTCTGCAAACCTGACTGGTCCTGTGTAAAAATAGTAATTGAGTTCAGTTTCACTAAACACACCTGATTACTGGCAGAGCTGTTAAATCAAGAAAACACCTAAATAGATCCTGTCTGACAAAGTGCAGCAGACTGAAAGATCTCAAAAAGCCAGACATCACGCCACAATCTAAAGAAACACCTGAGAAACAAGTCTGGAAAAGGTTATAAAGCCATTTCTAAAGCTGTGATGCTCCAGTGAGCCACGGTGACAGCCATTATACACCAGTGGAGAAAACCTGGAACCATGCCTGTAAATAAGGAAAACATTCCACATCAGAAGGATATTTGGCTTCATTTAAGACACATTCCCCTTCTAGAAATCGAGTCAGAGATTGAGTCACTGTTAGGGGTAAATGTACCAAAGGCACTGGAACCACTGAGTTTAAAAAAAGAGTAAAACATATTAACAAATTGAAAGTACATAATGTTTGTCTGTGAGATGGTTATGAATATTTTTCCAAAGGTATCCAGAGTCGCATGTAGTGAAAATGTAAAGCTATTGCTTCACTCGTCTACGTTCATCTGAAGAGGAAAAAATTTCCACGGGACTTTTAAACCAAAGGTATTCACAGTTTTACTTAACCAAGCCAACACGAATGCAATAAAATAACTTTCATTACCCATGAATTTACTTATTAAATAACTAATTACACAAAATAAGTTTGACAGTAAATATAAATACTGAAATATATGTACTATATTAACTTGGCTCCCACACCACCTCTGTGTAATTCATTATTGTACATTTAAACATTTTTAGGAAATGATCAGACAAAAGAGGAAGGTTAAGAAAGATCCTTTATTCCGACCATAGCACACGGACTTGGAGATAAAAGGATTCAAAGGGTTTGCATAGCAAGTGGCTGTAGACAAATTGGCACTTGATGATGGGACATTATGGTATATCCCTCACAATAGTGTTGAACTCATGCAGAGGCTAGATCTCACTAGCTCTTTGACAAAAGTTGCAACCAGAGCTTGGACAACATTATTGAAGCACTGTTGAATCATCTGGACGGAGAACAAAACAAAAGGCAGTCTACATCCAAAGAGGAACTTTAGAATATCCTTAAAGAATCGTGCAGAACAATTTATGAGGACTACTAATAGAGATTAGAAGAATGCTTGACCAAATGAGTTCATGTTGTGTTGCAGAATAAAAGTGGTTATACCAAATGATTCACTTTCATACTACATAGAATTTTACATATTCAGTTTTAGGCTTGTACACTGTATTTCCTTGGATATTTGGTAAACATTATGGAAACCATTTGTGGATATAGACATGTAAAAACACAATGACTACTTAATTCAACTCAATTTTATTTCTGTAACTCTAAATCAAAAACAGTTGGCCCAAGTTACTCTATACTGTTCATGGGACCCAGCTGGACGCATCCCAAAGAGACGACATGGGCCCAACATCCCGTAGGCCTGTCACTCACAGGGGGCATCATAGCGGCAGCCAAGAGTGGAGGCCTTGGCGGACCAATCCCCTCCTATTGAGGCTGGTAATCGAGACATGGAACGCCACCTCTCTGGTGGGGATGGACCCTGAGCTAGTGCATGAGGTTGAGAGATACCGGGTAGATGTAGTCAGGCTCACCTCATTGAATGTCTTGGAACAAGCCTCCTTGAGAAAGGCTTGACTCCCGAAGGCTCTGGATGTTGTAGGAATGTCATGTTTGACACTCCTCTGTAACATTGTGTGGAGATCTGGAGTGGTGTCTCAGGATTTTCAGACTGGGATGGTGAATGCCATCTTTAAGAAAGCGGATTGGAGGATGTGCTTCAACTAGGCCAGGGTATTGGAAAGGACAATATGTCTGTTAGAACAACCCCAGATCCAGGACAACAATGCAGTTTCCATCCTAGTAGTGGAACCATGGGCCAGCTCTTTATCCTCTCAAGGATGTTTCAGCGTGAATATATGTGGAAGTTTGTCCAACCAATCTACGTGTGCTTTGTATGCTTGTGGAGGGCGCTGTAGGAGTATGGGGTGTCTGGCCTATTCTTATGAGCCATTCCATGTCCATGTACAACCGCAGCGAAAGCTTGATCCCTTATTGCCAGCAATCTGTTAGACTAATTTACAGTGGGAGACTGCTCTTTGTCACTTTTGTTCACAACATTTATGGACAGTATTTCTAGGTATAACCAAGTAGCGGCCACAGAATCTCATCTCTGCTTTTTGTAGATGACGTGGATGACTCCTTTTTAATGTATATGTCAAAGTCAGCAGAAAGGTATTAAATCACCACTTGGTACTTGTTTTAGTCAAATGTCTTCACCAAAAATAAAATGATTCTATAGAATTTAATTATTTCTTTGGATTGTGAGTTATGTAGATGTCTGTTGGAACTGTCTGGTGATAGAATCTCCTCCAATAACAATAGAATAGAATAGAATAGTCATTTATTGTCATTGTACATGTACAAGAAATTGTGAGTGCTTCACACCAAGTGTGCTAGAATAAAATATAAAAGCAGGAATAAATAACACCTGAAGGTGGAGACAGATTCCACCTGTTCTCCATTTACAATGACAGGGGAGTGGACCTGTCACTGCCTCCTGAAGTCCATTATGAGTTCTTTTGTTTTAAGGACATTGAGCTTCAGGTTGTTTTCTGAGCACCAGTGGGACAAATTCTCTCGCTCCGCCCTGTACGCTGTCTCAACTCCAGTTGGTTAGGAAATCCTGTGATCCAGGAGCAGGTGGCAGGGGGGATGTTGAGGTGGTCCAGTTTGTTGGTAAGGATGTCTGGGATGATGGTGTTGAATGCCGAGCTGTAGTCCATGAAGAGCATCCTCACTTAATTCTTCCTGTCATCCTCCGTAGACTGATTTGGTCTGTAAACAAACTGGTAGAGATCGAGATAAGGCAGTAGGCAGCATGTGCTGAGAGACTATCCGCCTCAAACACTGGTGAGGGCTTGAATGCCTCTTCACACCTGGCGGGAGTTGTTGTCAGTGAGGAAGCCCTCTATACTCCTCCTGCAGGCCTTCTTTGGCCCGTTTGATGCTCCTCCTCCTCAGGTTGTCCCTGGCAGTGATGTACAGAGAACGGTCCCTCAGCATGAAGGCTGAGTTACGAGATCAGAGCATGTACTTCACTCGTGATCCAAGATTTTTGGTTAGGAAAAACCTAGGTGGTTCAGTGACCTGGGTGCTTGGAGAGGTTTGTTTCCTAAGGGAGGTGGAGACAGGGAAGAGAGATGGTCAGATTGTCCTAGGTGGAGGAGGGGTGTCGGATTTTAGGCCCACTTGATGTTATTCTACACATGGTCCACTGTCCTGTCCCCTCTGCTCATGTACACTTAACATGTTGGTGGAATTTGGGGAGTACTGATTTTAAATATGTCTTATTAACGTCCCCTGCAACAACATTGCCTTTTTTAATGTTTTTCCATCTGCCCCATAAACCAGCTCCCTTTTGTTAAATTCAGTTCTGCCTGCGCTGTCTGCATCTGGTCCTCCCTTAAAACACACGCCAGTGATCGTGACACCATTAGCTTGCGAGGTAGATAGAAGCGTCTGCACTGACTGGACATGGCCTCTAAGTACGGTTAGGAGTGACTGTCTATAATTCTACTGTTGGCATCAGTTATGAAGTACATAAGGACAGAACGCTCCGCCCCTTCCCTTACCAGATTCACTCCAGTCCTGGGGGTGTAGATTCCGGCCCGGTAACTCCACTGAGGCACTGGATTCAGTTACAATCAGCGGACAACACTCCTGGACAAAGCAGTTGTATTAAATCTCTGATTATAGCTCCTCCATTGTGTTTTTGAGAGATGCATTGGTTGTTTTTGCAGCTGGATGCGACAGCCAGCTCTGCATCCCCACTTTTATTTTATCTTCTCGCTTGCTGTTCCTGACAACAACCCACGAAACACCCGATGGTCTTGCAATCTCAGGTGGGAGACTTTCATTCCAATCTAAAGTCCAGACTGAGGTTGAGGCCAATGCCAGTTCTTAACAAGTGGAAGTGATCAGTGCTTTGCAGGACGACGCAACGAAAAGGCATAAGAGTATGAGTAAAAGCAATTGATTTGTGTAGCGAAATAACTATCCCTCTTTGTCTAGAATTAAAATGAGCAGAGAAGATGTGGTTAAAGGTTTTTTTTTTTTATATCTGAGAGTCAGTTTACAATAAATGTAAACAATGTAAGCTTTAAGTTTATTTATGTGGCAGATGCTTTGAGTCTCTGCCTGTGTTCCAACACCACAGATATTCTAAGTTACAAAACTTGGCAATGTCATTATGAGAGATTGCAAATTTATAAAGTAGAGTAGAAAAAAAAATGTTTGTGCATGTGTGAATATATGTGTTTGTGTCTTGTGCCTGTATGTTGAGGGGATATAAATGAAAAATGTACGGAATAAGAGAAGTTTGTAAAAATCAAAAAGACAAGGAAAGACGAATGCTGTGTCAATTTCTTTTCAATGAAAAATTCCTGTGTTACTTTTACAAAATGCTTTGTCAATATCCATTTGCACCATGAAGTGCTGTCCCGTCAATCTTTAAGCATTTGGCTAAATACGAGTAAAGAGTGTAATTTATCCAAGTCTTTCCATCAAAAGCCACCTCAGTAAAATACCATCCAAGTGACTTGGTTCCAGACAGATCATGTGTCACTGGTACTAAATAGCAGAGATGTGTGTTGGACCCTCACCTTTGGTGTCATTCAGAGGGTCCATGTGTCGATAAATATAGCCCTCCAGGTAAGTGTGGAAACGGGGTGTTGGGGGAAAGAAAGCTAGACAGATGGCCATCAATTCCCAGCCTCGCTCTAGGCTGTCGTAGCGGAAGTTCTCTGTAGTTTGACGACACAGCTGGATGTAGAGCTCATCACGCAAACCCTGATTACTCCACCCACGCACCACAACCTGACAGACAGGCAGAGGACCATGTAACATTAAAAAATTTGAGGTCATTTGAACTTTTCTGTCCAACTGATTTACCTCAATTCTGCAAAAATTGGAATGGTGCGTAAAATGTATATGAAAACACAATGCAATGATTTGCAGCTGTCATAAATATTTTATGCACAATAGAACAAAGACATATCAAGTATCGGAAATCAGAAGATGCACCATTGTAAGAAAAAATAAGGTCATTTTGTATTAGGTGGCAGCAACATGTCTCAAAAAAGTTGGTACAGAGCCATGTTTAAAACTTTGTTGCGCCAGATGTTTTCAGTTAGTGAAACAAATCCAGTATGCAGTTTATCATTGTCTTGCTGAAATATACAAGGCTTTTCTTGGCAAATATGTTGTCTGGATGTGAGTGTTCCATAGGCAGGGTGCAGGATTTTGAACTGAATGTTAATAACAGGCCAGATGGTCTCTCTCCTATTTAATGCAGAGGATGCGGTATCTTTGTTTTTAAGAATTTCAAAGGTTGATTCGTCTGACCACAGAACAGTCTTCTACTTAGCCCAGTCCATTTTAAAAGGACCCTTAGCCCAGAGAACGTCGCATCACATCTTTGCATAATAAACCTTTAACCTGCATTTGTGAATATCACAGGGATGTTCACAAAGATTTCTCAAAGTGTTTCCGAGCCTGCAGTCATTTCCATGAGAGAATAATGACTGTTTTCAATATAGTGCCACCACAGGGCCTAAATAACACAGGGACCCAATACTGGTTTTTCGACTTCATATTTTCTGAATCTTTTGATGATATTTTGTTCTGTAGATAACGAAATATTCAAGTTTTTTTTAAACTAAATTTTACATTAAGGAACATTATTGTGCCTCTTTTTATAGTCTTTATAAACCAAGTCGTGTTACTGACCTGTTGACAATTAACCAAATTAGCTAATATTTTAATGAAATAGTAAAATGTCTCACTTTAAACATTTGCTAAAATACTGTGCAAAAGTCACGATCCACCCCTCATTTCTTTTTATGTTGGTAGGAAAATGGGAAATGGAACAGTGCTCTATTGAACTCTATAAAACATATAATACAGTATAAGGTAAAGGGTACGAACAGAGTTTCTAAACTTGAAATGAGCTTGAAAGTCAATATTTGGCATGACCGCCTTTATTGTTCAGTACAGCCTGAACTGTCTTGAGGAAGCTTTCTTGTAATTTCTTTAAGCAGTCTTCAAGACAAGTTCTCGGTTTTCGTGTAAAACTTCCCACAGCTATTCTTTCTTTGGCTGACTTGTTCTATTCTATGATTCTGATGATGATTAGAAATAAAAATGATCCTTTATTCCATTAAAAGTCTGAATGTTTCAGGTCACTGGATATTTTTTTCATATTATCCTTCTTTAGTGTAAATAGGGTTGTTGGCCTTCCAGTTCTTCTTGTGGCCTATATTTGGCCAGTTTACTCATTTTTTAAACAGCACAGTGGCTGTGTACACACTGTACCAAACTTCTGGACTCAGTGTCAGTTTTCTAGTGAAGGTGCTGAAATAAAATTATTTATAAGGACATAATGAGAAAGTTAGGAAAAACTCACCTCCAGAGCCACAGAAAGGGGGTCGGCCTTGGAGCGACGGTCTCCCATGTAGGTCTGGATGAGTTTAAAGATCTCGACTGCCTCCTTTTTCACGCTGCGGTCTGAAGTCACAATCATGGGCTTCTTGATAGGCTCACTGCTCCAGGCCAACATGTTGGCAATAGAGACCTTTCTTCTAAAAAGACCCTGAGGAAAGAAATCAGGGATTGAGAGAAATATAAAGTTGTTTAAGTGACACAGAAACAGATGCTAAGAGAGTAACTGACATTTAATTAACCTTGTCTCAGCAGAGAATTATGGCTGCCATTCCCTGAGCATCTTCCTGAAGTCTCTTCTTGTTAAAAGGATTTCTTCTGCACTACTGTCACCAAATACTTGTTAATGGGGATCATCTTAAATTCATTAAGGTCTTTTTTTTTACAGTATATAGCCATTGAAGAACCCGTTGCTATGAACTGACATTGTATAAATTAAATTTTTATTTAATTTAATTATAGTTGTACATTTTCCCTTTTTTGTTGAAAATATTACATATTCATAGCCCTAAAAGGCTTTGAGATATTTTTTAAGTTAAGTGAAAGGTAAAGATTATCAGTTTGGATATGATATGAGGTCATCACTCTTTCACTAAATTTTAGCAACAGTTGCACCAAGTGTATAAACTACTGACAGTGCAAAGCTGAATATGCCTCTACTGAATATAGCAAGAAAGGTTGACCTTGGAGAAATTAGCATGTACTTTACATGACTACAGGCGTTTCATCAAGATATTGCTACCATTCACAAACACATTAAATCCATCTGGGTTAGACCTTCTAATTAACAACCTGGAAGCAAGCTTTAACCATCGGGGGAACAGATGGTTAAAACAGAAACAGATTGAAATCAAAATGACCGTTTCTGGAGAAACTGCAGGGGGATTGTTGTTACTGTCTGTTTCATTGTCCACTGTAGCAACTTATAGATTGCATTCATTATTAGGTATAAGAATTTAGCAAAAGCGGGGCTCAGGAAGGAACCGGCAGAAACACCAGAGGGTCCCAGCCCCTGGTAGTCTTGAGTTGTCACTCAAGACTGTAAGACCAGACTGACCAACCAGTGGACCGCCCAAAAACATATAACTCAGTGGCTTACACATGGATGCTGGAATGCCTTCGACATCAACATGACCTCAAGAGCCTTCATCAGGAATTCGATGGGGATGTGGCAAAAAACACTTGAGGTCAAATTCAACCCAAATACACAAGTCACCATCAAATGCAGGATATACTGAGGATCTGCCCTGTACCCACTGCTGTTCTGCATAGGCCTGAACCCCTTCAGTGAGACGATTAAACAAGACTGGCTTCTAATACCAACAACATCAAGCTAAATGCCAGGAGTTATTGAGACATCGATTCACTGACCCACACCACTGGGATCTGCAGCAGTGACATTGGAATGTCATTCAGACTGGAGAAGTGCAGTTGATAGTAACAAAGTGGGATAACAAGCTGGTCAAAGGAGGAGACACAAGCTGCTGACATCAAGACAACAAAGGTCCTTTGCTGTTCCTAGGACTGCGCTCTTCTGGACAAGGATCTCTGATGTTGTTCCTGGGATCTGCTGGAGCCACTCGCCTAGCTTGGGAGTCACCGCACCTAGCGCTCCAATTACCACTTGTAGGTACAGGTACCACTGTTACCTCCACCCTCCACATCTTCTCCAGTTCTTCTCTGAGCCCTTGGTACTTCTCAAGCTTTTTGCGTTCTTTCTTCCTGATGTTGTTGTCATTCAGTATCGCTACATCTATCACTACGGTCGTCTTCTTCTGCTTGTTAATCCACCACTATGTCTGGCTGGTGAGCCACCACCATTTTGTCTGTATCTGGAAGTCCCACAGGATCTTAGCTCGGTCATTCTCCACCACCTCCAATTTTGACCTCGGGACTTCCAGGCCATACTCGGCACAGATGTTTCAGTACACTATGCCGGCCACTTGGTCATGGCGTTCCATGTATGCCCTGCTAGCATCTTGCATCCTGCTGTTAAGTGCTGGATTGTCTCAGGGGCATCTTTACACAGCCTGCACTTGTGTGATAGCCTCTATGGATCTTGTGCTCAGAGCTTGTTCCTGTGCTGCCATGATTAGTGCCTCTGTGCTGTCTTTCAGTCCAGCTTTTTGCAACCACTGGTAGGATTTCTGGATGTCAGCTACTTCCTCTATCTGCTGGTGGTACATACCATGCAGGGGTCTATCTTTTCATGTTGGTTCCTCCTCTTCTTTCTTGGGTTTCTGCTGCCTGGGCATAGGCGTTCTTACCTACAGATAGGATCTTGTTCTTACTGTTCAGCTGACTTCTTAGAACTTGCCTGATCCTCTGCAGGAGATTGCTCCGTTCCGTAGTAATAAAACCAGTGAACAAGTCCGTAGCCAGTCTTGTCAATGATCTCACTGAGAGGGCTCAGGCTTATACAGAATAGGAGTGGGGACAGTGCATTTCCTTGGTAGATCCAGCATTTGATGGCAACTCGTGCTATGGGCTTGAAGATGGCTTCTAGTGTTGTATGTCACAAGTTCCTGATGAAGGCTCTGAGGGTCAGCCTAGCCTTGCAGTCTCAGGCCACTGCTCTGTTTACCAGTACTCCTTCACTCCTTTGGTATTCCTCCCAATTCCTTTCTGTGCCTTGCTCGGGTATCAAAAAATCCATAGGTTGCACATCCTCTTCAAGTAACCCCTTCTGCTGGGGTTACTTGTGTAGTAGCATTCCAACAATGTCTTGTGTTTATCTCTTGCCCACTTGTGCCTTCATGTTCCAGCAGCACACTTCTCATTAGTGTGTCCTGGTTCGTCAACACCTGACCTAACCTTTTGAAACCAGGCAAGTCCGAGTCGGTATGTCTTCGTTTGTATGTGAAGTATGATTTATTAGCATAGGGGGTGTAGCCTAGGGACCCTTTCTGAATACAGACACCCCCAACCTGAAGATCCAAAGGTGTGTCTACGCTTTGGGTAGATAATTACTGTCTATTTATTATAATAAAACCTTTTTACTGTCAGTATGTGACACCATCAACAGAATCATTTAAATCAACAGTGTTATTAATGCAATGCTGTTATTACAGTCTTACTATAATGTTAATTGACTGTTAATTTATTTGTTTCACATGCATAGAAATTAATTAATTAAAAAGCATGAAACTTCCTTTAGAGATCTTGAAAACAGACCATTAGAATAAAGTATAGGATACATAAAGCGTTTTTATACAGTAGAGATATCAGGTTCAGAATCACTAAAAGGAAACAGGCTTGTGTTTTATATTTTTGTGAATACCTGTGTGTGTTTATTGAAGTGCTTGGATGCCCAGTTCTCAATGTCGGTCTCCGAGGACGGCTTCCTCAGGGTGAACTCTGGGAAAATGCCACAGCTGGCGCTAGGCATCATATTCCTTGCATTTCGACTGGCTTCAAATTGGGCACAAGCTCCGAGGTCCTCTGACTTAAAGTTGGACAAACAGAGAGGGAGTGAGGAAACAGACAATTAATCTTGTGCCGCAAAACATTTATAAAGTTTCTTTAGCACTTACTAACACTCAGGTAGCAAATTCAAGACTGACATTTTAATTTGTCAATATTGGCAAGGTTATTTCAGAGCAACAAAGTCCAGTCATTCTTTAGAAATAACAGCTTTGAACAAAAGAAAGATATTCAAAGGCATCATAGGTGTAAGAACCACTATGATTATGTTTGTTTGTATATCAATTAAAAAAAATTATATGGGTGTGGCATTAGAATTAAAGCAGGAAATTGATAAGGTTATCCAACTAAAACTAATCGCTGAATCTAATATTATGTTCTCTGAAATGTAAAAACATTGAAATAAACTTTTCTTCAAAAAAAATGCAAAGAATTAAATAAAATATACAGTACTGTATCAAAGTTCAGTATTGAATATTACATATTTTAAGTTATATACAAAGTGCCTCTGAATGGCGTTTGAAGCCAATTCTAAATTCCAAAGTAATTAAGCAACAAACAATTAAACGACAGTGTTTTCAGTTTCTACTATAAACACGTCAGTTTTTTCTTACACATTTGTAAACTGTACTTTCAACAATTAAAAAGCATGTTTTAAGGAGAAATATTCATGATCAACTGCCTTTTGAAGGAACAGGAGTCAGATGTAGTTTATAGTGCTTTACTATCTTAGTCCTGCAATAGTATAAATTAAACTGGAGAACACTAAGAATTTTATCAATAAAGATACAGTAAATAAAGACCTACTTTAAATAAAGATACGCTACAAATGATCTAAATACAGATAGTTTAAAAAAAATACAGTAACTGTAAAATATAGACAATATAGCAAATTGGTTATTGTAAATTCTAAAATAACGTCCTGCTGCCAGGAATTTGCTGTTGAATTTACAGCAAAGCTAATTTAAATTCACAGTGGTTGCTATAATTACCAATTAAATTTACAGTAAATTTACTGTTAATAAAATTTACTGTAGCTTTACTGTAAATAAAAATTATAGCAAACTGCAGTAAAATCCAGTAACAGCAATTTTATTGTAAATCAAATTACGAGGATGTAAAAAGTGTTTACAGTAAAGTTAATTGCACTTTTTACAGGAAATGATCACGCAGCTCCAGCTGCCATTAAATTTCTTTAAAATGTATGTGTGTCTGTCCTTATCCACTTAAGTCGGACAGAGGGGCGAGAGGGATTTTCACCTACCTGAGGCGCGCTCCTGTGCAATCCTTCAAGATCTTGGTTGTTTCTCAATATACATACTTGTGTATACCTGTATTCTTGTGGACTTGTGAAATGTCATCAGTTGCAGCCCAAGTACTACTCCAATTCAATTCAAGTCATGCAGGCTTAAAACATCCAGATGTTCTCACTTTGCCCATTCTGCTGAGCATGCACTGGGGGTGACCTTTGTGTGCTTGGTGCAGCCAAGTTTTTCAGAATGCATTTCATCCAAAATCAAAAGCGGCAATGACAGATGACGGCTGAAACTGTAAGGTTTGAAATATTATGGTATTAACAAGACAGTTCTAACATCTGACATGTTTGTTTCTGTTCAATATGCAGACTGAACTGTGCATGTCTAATGTTTTTATTAAGAGAGATGAAGTTTGTGTTTCAGTGATGTAATGACTGTGCCCGGAGGGATCCTTGTCAGATCCCCGACCCACCTCATTCAGCTCCTTTCAATGTGAAGGAGTAGTGGCTCTACTCTGAGCCCCTCCCGGATGACCAAACTCCTCACCCTATTTCTTAAGGGAGAGGTCAGACACCCTTTGGAGAAAGCTTATTTCTGCTGCTTGTTTCTGCAATTTTATTCTTTTGGAGAGCCCACGGAAAAAGACTTTTGGACTGCCTCAAAGAAATTCTGGCATACTGTCAGGCGACTCAGGACGGGAAAACAGTGCTCTACCTACACTAGTGCGGGTGACTTGCTGCTGACTTCGACTAAGGATATTGTCAAGCGTAGATGGAATAATTCGAAGTTAACATTCGGTTTCAAGAAAAAAGTCAAAATATGGACGTTATGTGTAGGCTGCTATACGCTCTAGAAAATGCCTTATGTAGATGAGTTAGTGGAAGAAATTGATCAGCCATCTTACTGTCTTGTGATAAAACATACATCCTTTTCATTTAAAAAGTGTAACCATCGGTATCCCTGCATCTGTCCACTGCCAGCAACTTCATTTTATACAAATCAGGCCAACTCTTACATTTTTGTGCTTTTTGCTTCTGACCTGACGCAGCTTTCTGCACCATCCTTTCAACATCCTTATACTTATCACCACACTGTGTTTGCTAAAAAAAGGAAATAATTTCCTTTCTTGCAACGAAAAGTACGATTTTACTAACTTATCTACACAAGGCATTTTAAAGGGGGTATATGGTTGTTCCAAGAAAGACTGCCTTGAAACAATGGTAACCTCCACATTTAAACTTTTTTCTTAAAATAGTATTTTAACTTTACTCTCAAAATGATCAATACATTTTTTTTCTTAATATGGCCCTAATACTCATTTGTCAGCTTAGACACTATGAAGCAGATCAGTAAATCTCTGAATGTTAGAAGACCACGGCCATGAACACGAAAGGCGAGCAGATGTTCTGTACATCTAAAAAAAAGGATTTATATAGTAGTAATCAGCATCTCTAGATAATGTAGTTTATATGGCGCGTGTATGCATGTAATGAATAAATCAGTCCAGTTTTTACTGCATCTTTTTTAATCAATTTTACATCAATGATCCTGTTATAGCCAAACATTTTGTCAAAATGCTTAAAAACACAAATAATCTAGTTTAATTCTAAGGAAATTGAGTAATTTCTGTTGTAAATATTAATCAATGAAATTGGGAGGGAATGACAGTAAAAACACACTTGAGCTGAGATGTGATTTTATCAACTGCACTGCCTCCATTTGTAGAATGATTGTGCTGGATTCTCTGTTCTCAGGAAGTCCACACAAGCAAGAACAAGTACTAACTTGTGTTCTTGGGTATTGAGAAACAGCTCCTGACTTTCTGTAGATTTTTCACCTGGAAAACGTAAAGGTCAAATCACATCTTTAACAAACTCCAACATGAGGGGAAAAAGCTGCTCCTATCAGCAGCCATTTGTTTTACAAAGTAAAGGTTGTGATGCTGATCGTAGGAACAGACAGTGCTGTTTTGGACACTAGAAAGAAGTTTACTTTTATTCCACCTGAGCTCAGTAACGCCTCTACCTCTTGCCACAATTGCACTGTGTAATTAACCCGCTCACTTCCACACATAACAAAGTCTGCAAAAAGGCTTCTAGACTCACCTTTTATCAAGGTGTCATGCATCTTTTGTATAAGAAGGGCTGCCTGATGACTCCCTGGTTGATAATTATACACATCTGGCCAATATGAATACAATCTATAAAATTCCAATCATATGATTTGCTGCTTACTCGTAAAGATTGAGGAAGACCTTCATTCTACACCTGGTCACTAAGCTAATGGCAATTACCTAAATGTTCATGTGCTTTTGATTTAATGACCTCGACTCACCTCTGCACGAGATTTCTGGATGAATTGTAGAGTTTTCGTGTGGAGAAACCCTCTGTACTAACACATGACCCTACGCTGTGTCACTGCATCATTCTATGTTTGGCACTGATCACCACCTGCACTCATGTATATATCTTTCAACGTAGCACTCTTAATTCTTATTCTCATGTATATATCTCATGTATATCTCATGCACATATCTTTCCACGTAGCACTTTTAATTCTTATCCCTACTTTTATTTTTTTCCATGTCTATTTAAGTGCTATTTATGACAGCATGTTTGCACTGAAGCACCGCAGCAATTTCCTAATGTTGTAAACCTGCTCAACATTTGGCAATAAACCCCATTCTGATTCTGATTCTGTAGACCTTTCTGAACTGGAGTCCAGGAATCACTATCTAGATTTTATTTATTTATTTTTGTCACAACTTGTTTTTGCCTCATTTTTAAACAAGCAAAATAACTTTATTTTTCCTCAGTTAATCAGTAATATTTCCAAAGCAATTGACAGGACACAAGAGGTGGAAAAGAGAGGGGGCCAGGGTAGAGTTGCTGGAGACAAGTGTCAGGAGTTATTTGTGGCAAAAGGATAGCAGCAAGAGTGAAGGTTGAAAGGTTTACAAGATGGTACCTGAGGCTTGTGTCTATTTGTAGACATTAGGTTTGAGATAAACAGTCTTTGCAGTCTGTACAGCCTCTTGGTAAACAGAGAGACAGTCCCTAAGTATGTAAGGAAACATACAGCTCATCCTTCTTCCATCTTCTCTCAGCGCGTCTGCAATCATGTCTGAGCCTCTGCATATGTTCATTCAATCACTGCTCTGACAAAGGCTTAGAGCACATCCTTTCTGGAAGAATGTTAAGACCTGCAGCAGGGGACTGAAAATGAGGCACTAAAACCTCTTTTTTATATGAGAAACAGAAAAGTCATTGGGCCTGCCTGGTCACGAACTAGTGTTATCCTTACTGTGCTTTTATTATGGGCATTATACTTTAACAGGCTTCTCTTCTTAAGCTCAAGCTCATCATCAGCTGCCTGTAGTATCAGTCCAGTATTTTGCTAATACCTCAGTTTGGTGATAACACTGCTGATGTCCACCAAATAAAAGTAACATGATTAATAAAGAAATGTGACTAGCATGTGTCTCTATATGTTTTGCTGTTTTCCTGTCAGTGACCATGATTCATCACGACTGAACTAGGGTGTACTACAAAGCCAGCACACCCTAGCTGAAAGTCAGTTTTCCGTGTGGATCTTTTTACTGGTAACTTGTGCTGAGCCCTTAACCTGGTCGGGGGTGGTTTGTGTTTACTTTTAGTTTAAAAATCATCTGGAAGCGCCACATTTTCACCGATTCTTTTATTTTAAGCATGTAGTGTGCAGTGCATCATCATAATTTTTTTAATCATCTGGTAACATCTTTGACTGAAGTGGGGATCGTTTTGTGTTTTAGTAAGGAACAGCTTGGCTTCTTCCACAGAGATCTACAAAACACCAATTTTTATCCAAGTACACTGAAAGCTTGAAGCAGAAAGCTTGGCTTAGTGGAAAAACTTCATAACCACCATTGTGATACCCACTATTTCCAACTAGGGCTGCCACGATTAGTCGACTAGTCACGATTACGTCGACTATCAAAATCGTCGACGACTAATTTAATAGTCGACGCGTCGTTTGAAGCTTTGTAAGATCACAAAAGACGCAGGAATAATAGCAGGATTTAAGAGTGTAATAACGGACTGAAACAGAAGATGGCAGCACTGCATGTACAAGGATGCCAGCTGCCGTTAAACCCCGAAGAAGAAGAAGCGGTGTCCCAGAATTCATAGCGCAGCCCAGCTCAGTTTCCAACAATGGCGGCAGCTAGTTAGTTTTAATGTTACTCTTATTATTCTTTCTGGGTCACAAAATAAACGTTTAACATATTTTCAGGCGAGAATGTAGCTGTGTAAACCTCAAATATCTGCTCAGTTTATCAAGACACCGCATATTTTCAAAAGCGCTCCGACATTTTCGGAGACGTCTGTTACCCACTAGCTCGATAGTGGGGCAAGGCTCACTAGAGCCTGTGAGAGCACCGGACTCCCGGCAAATCGTTTTCAAACCCACCGCCGTCTTTTGCTACTCAGGTTAAACATGATATATAAGTCACTTAGATAACTTTAAAATGTTATTGTTTGCCTTTTTTTTTAGTATTTTATTTGTTCCTGAGTAAATCGGTTTGGCTGAGATTAAAGTTATAGTTTTTTGCACAGCTGAATAAACTTCAAGCAGACAGCTGATTATCAGAAGTGTGAGATGCTCAAGAATATACTCCGGTGTCCTGTTATATTTTAGATAGCAAGGAGCAGAGGGCTGAGTTTATTAAACTTCACCGAAACAATCTGCAAATTTCATTAAAATTTAATAAGCTATCATCTTGTCTTTTTTTTTTGTTAGCACATACCTTAAACACTTAAAGCTGTAAGCTAATGATAGTTATATAAGAGCAGATGCTGCTGGTGCAATAAGCTATACGTTTTACGTCCAATGGATGATGATCTGATTAGTCGACTAATCGCAAAAATAATCGGTGACTAGTCGACTATGAAAATAATCGTTTGTGGCAGCCCTATTTCCAACTAAGGTTTTAGGTATTATAGAGTCAGCTAATGCAAAGCAAGCCAGACTGTGTTGAATTTCATTCAATGTATACCCCTCAGAACGGCACTATTATCTCATCGTTGCAGCTCTCCATTTAAGAACCACCACTGAGTCAAAGGTTATTGTTGGTTTTTACAGTAATAGATAATCTGTTAGTATATAAAGGTTTTTTTTTAAAACAGTTCACATTTCAGGTGTCAGCAGAGGTGTACAAAAAGCGTAAGAGCGGAACTTCAGAACTTGTAGTCTGTCAGAGAGGAGAAAGATCACCTTTATTTCAGCTCTGAGGTACTGCAATTAAGTGGCATTTATACCAGGGTAACCAGAGGGGATAATACGTATTTGAAATATATAATTTAGCCTCATTTCTGCTGTCCAATACAAAGAAATGTAAACTTTAACAAATGATTCCAAATTGCAAAACTCTCAGTTGTGTCTCTAATAAAACCTCTGTAACTTTGCTCTGCTTCACTTCAGCAGCATCAGGTAATGTTCATATGCTGATTCATAGTTTTCTTCCATTTCTGATCTACTGCAGAATATTTTTAAGGCGGTTGTCTGCTATAAAAAGCTAGACCAGCAAAATCTCCTTCATGTTTTTCTGCATTTTATCCTCAGTTACTTCGACACAAATTCATCTGCTGTGATGCTTACTGATGAAGTCTTACAAGTGTCAGCTTTGTTTTTATATATGGATATGTACTGATAAATGATCAGAATTATAATATTTCGAAACCGAATCGAATCAAATCAGGACCTTGTGAATTGGAATCAAATCAGAGAAATCAAAATCGATGCCCAGCAATATTTATTTGTGTCACAGAAAGTTATATTTTAAATGTCACTTAAAGTTTTGTGGCCACTCTCATCTGCCATTGTTGCTTTTGAGTTTCAAACAAAATACATTCTGGAATAATTGGCTGTACCAAGCACATGCAAGTCCACACCGATGCATCCTTCATAAAATGGGCGGAGAAAGATGTCCGTGCATTTTGAGCATAGTTGACTTGATACATACGCTGAACTTTAACAGTACTTAAGCTGCGACTGACAACATTTTACAGTTACACAAAAATACACACAAGGACTCGTTTTGAGAAAGAGACAGTGTTAGCTACTGCTAAGCTAGCTAATGCTTTAAACTATTGGCTACAAAATGATGTAGCATAGACCTATAGTATGCTATGTTGGGTGCCTTTTAAAATATCAGCATGTGGTTGTATTTACCTTAATTTAATGAGCCGTCAGTTCCAATAAATACACCACCAGATTGAATGAAATGAAAGTGCAAGGGGGGGCGTGTGTATGGGAGTTTGACACAACGACTTACAGACTCCAAAAATTAAGATGGCAGCCCCCATAAGTGGGAAATTCTGTCTTTACTCTTGTACAAAGGAAGTGGCGCCACGTTATCCATCTCTTACACATTTATTCATACACACACACACAATAAATCCCCCATTAAGTAAAGCTGTTATAGATTAGCAATGGTAACTGAACTACAAAAGCAATAATAATGGAATTATCCTATCCTTCTAAATATGGCTAGAAAATTCTAGCATGCAGCAGTACCTGTGAGGGATGAAGGTAAGGTTCAGGGGAGGCCAGGTTGGTCTGAACAGAGAGGCTTTTCTCCAGGAGGGCCTGAGGGAACCCCAGCCGCTCAAAGGTACTTCGTTTCCAGTGGTGGCCATCGCTCTGTGCTAGTGCCTCGTCCTCACTGAACGCCCTCACCACTGGTCCCGGTAATGGCAGAGGCACTGCTCCGTCGCTCTCATAGCCATCTTTAGAGCTGCCAGCTTGGGAAGCACCACCTCCCTGCCCAGAATCCCAACTGCACCTCTGTTTCATCACCTGCTGAGCCTCCCAAGCAAGTCTGGCCTGAGCCAGCATGGCTTCAGATGCTGTCCCAGTAAGCTCCACCTCCCCATACCGAGTCAGTTCCTGTGGGAGGGATGGCTTGCGGCTTTTGCGTTTGCGGTTGCCAGAGGGAGAGAAAGCCCCAGGCCTGGCTGTAGAAGAAGAAGAGAGGGAATGTGTCTGGCTGGACGTCCAGGATATGGAGTCCTCATAAACTAACCTCTGGCTTCCCTCTCCACCCTCTCCACTGTAGTCCAGCAGGAAGCGGGGGTCTCTGATCAGAGATTGGCTGTGTTGCAGAGTGTAGGACCCCCCATATGAACTTCCATAGCCACCGGTTGTGCCGTAACGCAGAAGACGGTCTGCTGTCTTGAATCGAGGACTGGAAGAAGACTGCTCCACGTACACCAGCTGCTTAACATATTCCTTGCCCACAGGACTGTACTCCAAACTCTGAGTCTTTTCGGGACACTTCTGCCTGGTCAGAACCAGCTGGCCATAGGGTGACTGTCCCTGCTTGGGGGAGTGGTAAAGGGGGACTGAAGATTTTCGAGCAGGTGACTTGCCAGTGCTGTAGAAGGAAGAAGAATCAGAGAGGTGCATGTCAGTGGGAGGTTCTTCATAGATGGGTGGGGGCTGAAAGTCTGTTGGCGGCTCCTCATATAGTGGGGGCTCATAGGTGTAGCGGGGTGAAGGAGGCTGGGAGTCAGCTGAAGTGAGTCGATGGGTGTTTGAGCCACCCAGCTCTGCCCGCTTAAGAAAAGGAGACTGACGGCGGTCGGCATAAAGAACTGGGGAGCTGTCAGGTTCTGAAGAAGGGTTTCCTCCAGAGGGACAGCGAGCTCGTGAGGTGGTGCCCCCTCCAGAAGGAGTGCTAGGGCTGGAGGGGTCACAGGGAGAGTAACCATTTCCCTGATGGGCCAAGAAGCTGGGCTCTCTGTCTGTCACCTTGATCAGCATTCGCTCTTTTGTACCAGTATTCCACCTGAAGGGAGAGGTCCTGGTAGAAGAGAGCAGAAAAAAAGAGAGGAGAGACATTTTGAAAAAGAAAAGAATAGATGCAGTTAGAGGATATTAAAGTTCATTTTGAACTTATCAATTCCTGTTCCAGTTACGCTGTTACAATTAATCTTGTAATTATTAGAAAATACCTCATAATCACATTTATCTGAAAGTGATTGTTATTATAAGGTAATAAAACCAAGATTAACTTGTTCCTAAATGATGGGAAGAGAAAAGCATGCAGAAAGAGAGCAAAAGCTCATGATATGAAGTAATATGCCTGCAACAGAACGGGATCACTACCATTTAATGATGATGTCACTGCTGATAGTAGTAGTAGAATATAATCTGAACTGCGCAGGACTAAACTTTGCTCAGATTTGACCAAATGCGGCAAACGTGATTGGACAGCAGTTTAAAATACCAGTGGGTAACGTCCCAAGGCATACTGCAAACGCAACCAAAGGGTTTCTGAAAGGAAGTTATATTTCTGTGAGCCAGTCACTCAATCACAACAGAGCATTCTTTTCAGTTACAGAAACAAAAGTAAAAGGCAGAAAGACCAAAAGACAAACAGCAACTGGATTCGAAAAATTCAGCAAGGTTTGAAAATAATTTTAAAATTAGAGTTTGAGTTCAGGGAACAGACTAGATCAGAGCGTGCATCAGCAGCATCTTTTCAGTATGTGGAAATGCTTAAACATCTACAAAAAAGACACTGGATGGATGGGAGCATATTTTGATCTAAAACCTTCAATACGTACAACCTACCAGTTATATAGGCACTGTCGCAGAATTTGGAACTGAGAAATGATAACAAGCTGGATGGTCTTTCTCCTCTAAAGCTTAGAGGATGTTGCACACATGCTTTTAAAAAAATGATTTCATGAGAATGTTTTTATTTCTCTGGCCACAGAACAGTTTTCGTTTTTGTTTCAGTCATTTTGACATGGGTTTTTGCCCAGAGAAGATGGGTGTTTCTACATCATATTCACATATGGCTTCTTCTTTCCATGATAAAGCTTCAACGTGCAGATAAAAATGATATGGCATAACAGACTTGTAGATCTGAAGTAAAGTACCACTATTGTATGACTTACTGTCATGCCGTTAAAAAAATCTGTGTTGAAAGTGAGAAATACATGTGTTCTTGTCTCATATTCACATAACTAAGTGGGTTTTTTTTGGGTAGACTGGGGGAGGGGGGGGGTGCATCATAGAGGTTGCACAGTGCCATTCTAAAGGCTGAACATTACCCTAAGCATTGTTCTAGTGTGCTGTATACCTGTAACTAACTCAGTCTTACCTATCTGCCTCCTCTCTGTTGCCTTGTTTTTCGGACAGCTCCTGGTCAAGGGAGGACGAGGTGCTTCCTTCTCGGCTGACTTCGCTGTTCCGTCCTGGGCTGTTGTCAGCAGATGCTCGCCGCCCGCCACCTGGAGGACGAGTGATGGTGGCATCTGTGTGCTGCTTCAGAGTCTGCAGCTTGGCCAAGGGTATGATGTCACATCCCTGAGGCCGATGCCACACTGTGCGTTGGGTGGAGGCGTTATAGTAGTAGAAGCGTGAAGTATTGGGGTCAAACAGCTCCCACCACTGGTTCTCACCGGTACGCTTGATGCAAACACCCTGTGGTGGGTCCCACACGCACTCACCCGTTAGCAGATTGGCATACATATGCTCCCGTGTCCGTGGCTCAATGATTTCCACCCACTCCAACCTGTAGGGGCAGATTGCAAAATGATAGAATTACAGTGGCTACATACTCCATCTGCCAGCCTAACTAGCTGGTCAACAGAGCCCATCCACACCTCCCTCCTAAAACCCTCAATGTCTAAGGTGCAGATAAACTTGAGAGGCAAATAGCCAAAGACCCCCCCAGAAAGGACCTGCAGACAACCAAGGACCCCAGAGGCGTAAATCAGACATTCTGAAGGAGACTAAGGAGAACCCACCCTACATGTTTGAGTGCCAGGGCCACAGATCCATACCCAACCCACGCAGAAGAGGCAAGCCACCCAGCCCAGTGCAAGCACCAATGACTACAAGGATCCCAGACCTAACATCCCAGGACAGCAAGGCAGTAATCACTCATGCTCCCCACCACCACCAATCAAGGCAGACACACAGATACCCAGAAACAGCAGCCCCAGCTTTCCAGCTCCCTGAAAAGTCGCCAGAGATCCAAAGACCAACCCTGGCCACCTGTAAGGCACATAGGTAGATGAGACTAAAGCCGAGCTCCCCCTAAAACAAATTCATCCAACTGTTTTTTTTATTGAGGCAGATATTCTCTCCAGATTAACGTGACCTAGAATTAAATTTGTAGTCAACTAAGGTTAATAACGGAGTTCTACAGGGTTCCATGGTAGGACCAGTTCTGTCTATGCAGACAGTGTCTTTAGAAAACATAGCATACATCTTTACTGCTATGCAGATGATACCCAACTTTATCTATCTCTGAAGCCAGGTAACACACCCCAATTAGTTAACCTGCAGAAATGTCTTAAAGACATAAAAACTAGTTTATGCATTTATTACCTCTAGGCTGGTCTACTGCAATTCATTATTATCAGGATGTTTCCCCGAACTCCTTGAAAAGCTGATCCAAAATGATGCAGCAGAACGCTGACAGGGACTAGAAAGCGAGAACATATTTCCTTTTATTGGCTCCCTGGTTAAATCCAAAATTGAATTTAAAAACAAAGTACTGCACCACCCCATTAGAGCACGTCACTCTCAGACTGGGAGCTTACTTGTGTTTCCAAGGGTATTTAAAGTGGAATGGGGGTTAAGAGGCTTCAGCCTTGTGCAACCAGTTTGGATTTGGGCAGCAGACATACTTTCTACTTTTAGGATTAGAATTCAAACTTTCCATTTTGATAAAGCATATAGTTAGGGCAGGGTCAGGTGACCTGGAATCCTCAATTAGCTATGCTGCAGTAGATCTAGGCTTCTGGAGGAATCCCATTTTAATGAAATGCATTTAATCATTAGTTCATATTAATATCTGGCTCCTGTCCACAGCATGTCTTTTGTCCTATCTTCCTCCCTTTACTGCCAAACAGTGGTGGCAGATTGCCACCTCTCCCTGAGCCTGGTTCTGCTGGAGGGTTCTTCCTGTTAAAAGAGATTTTTTCCCACTCCCCTCTGTCGCCAAAGCACTTCTTACAGGGGCTCATCTAATTGGTTTTCTCTTTTTTCTCTGTATCATTGTAGGCTCTTTATTTTACAACATAAAACACGTTGAGACAACTGTTATAGTAATTTGGTGCTAAATAAATAAAACTGAACTGAATCTGTTTGCTAAAACTGCCGGACAGGACAGGTTTAAAAAAACTAAATAAAAAATGTTGTCATCCACCCTCTTTTTTGAAAAAATCTTGACCCTTCTCTTCTTTAAAGAATTTAAAGACCAATTTGAAAATTACAGTTTACTGCTAAGATTTGAAACTTACCAGTTTACATCTTATAACTGTTCCAAAGAGACAGCCCTTCTTAGCGTCTGCAGTGACATTTTGCATACTGATGCAGGCGAAGTTTTGTTCTGCCTTGACCTCTGCCTTACTGATACCGTTGAACATTTTGATCAATAGGCTGAGATACTAATGTCTAGTATTGGATGATATCTGTCTCAATGTTTCTTGTCTGTGGCTGTTTTTAAGTTCTGGTTCTCTTCGACTTCTCCTACTATAAAGTTCTGTTTTGGGCCTTTATTGTTTCTGTTATGATTTCTTCCTCTTCAGCACATTTTAAGCACTTTTAAGGAAATCTCAGTGACAATTCTCGCTGCTATGAAGGCGACATTCAGTTGCATATCTCTTTAAAGCCCAAAGATGTTTCCAAGCTGGATATTTTGAAGTACTCACATACCACAACATCACTAATTCAATTGCACTAGCTCACAATTCAGAGTACACACTAATTCTGGCTCTGGTTTTGACTTTTAGACCTGTGGATAAAGAAGCCGGTGTACCATCCAACCAGTGTAATGGTTGGATGGACACCAGAGAACTTTCGATCTACAGCAACTTCCACGCTGTCTTCACAGCTAACAAAGTGTTGTGATGGCACAAGGGAGAGGTGTGTTTCATTCGAATCCAGGTGCCCACTAAAACCCAGCGGCAGCTATTTTCCTGCCTCCACAAGTAACTGCAGAAGACAACAAGGCAAACATGGCCACCAAAGCAAAGTAAAATTGCACTCTGTACAAAAGCAAAAGTCATCCAGTGCATGCAAAACGAGTCTCTGTCTCTAAGTAGACAGGGACTGCTTTACCATCTACCATGTTTTCTTTTATTTGTTTTTTTTAAAATAAATAGTCCTTTTGTGCACTTTGGGAGGCCAGCATAACAAATTACATGTTCAGAACATCTTCTGACTATGGTCGTGTCCAAATTCATGGGCTGCATCCTCCTGAGGACGCATTTGTACACCGATTACGTCACAGCGACGCGCCGAAGGCTGTACAAATTCGTAGACTCCTCCGAATGCAGCCGACAAATGCGTCCTCCTTTTCCCCGAATTTGAAGGATGGGTCGGGTGTGTCCTTCGTGGCCCACCATATCCCAGAATTCATAGCGTGGCCCAGCCAAACTCCAGTTTCCAATAATGGCGGCCGCTACTAAGTTTTAAAATTACTCTTATTAATCTTTCTGGGTCACAAAATAAACTTTTAACATATTTTCAGGCGAGAATGTGGGTGTGTAAACTTCAAATATCTGCTCGGTTTATCAAAATATCGCATATTTCCAAAAGTGTTTCGACGTTTTCAGAGACGTCTGTTACCCACCAGCTCGATAGCTAGCCGGGAGCTCGAGGGTCACTAAAGCCGCCGAGAACGGCACAACTCCCGGCACATCATTTTCAGATCACCGCGGACTTTCGCTGCTCGGGTTAAACGTAATATATAAGTCACTTAGAAAAACTAAAAATGTTATTGTTGGGCTTTTTTCAGTGTTTTATTTGTTCGTGAGTAAATCGGTTTGGCTGAGATTAAAGTTATTAGATTAGATAAAATAAAACTTTATTAATCCCCCGGGTGGGTTCCTCCTTGGTTTTCACACAGCTGACTAAACGTCAAACAGAAAACTGATTAAACAGAAGTGTGAGATGGTCGAGAATTTACGCCAGTGTCCTGTTATATTTTAGATAGCAAGGAGCAGACAGCCGAGTTTATTAAACTCCACCGACACAGCGGTGACGCAAATCAGAAGGCTAGACCGTCCAATTTCACAGCCGTTTACTTCCGGCCTACCCGACCTTCTGAGGACCCGGCCCACGTAGACCGCGAAGGCCGGGTCCTCAGGAGGATGCAGCCCATGAATTTGGACACGACCTATGCCTGCATTTTATATTATATATGTATATTAAAAAAACCTGCAACAATTTTGTCTTCAAAGCTGATGTATTAGAAGCAGGAAAATTAGGCAAGTGCAAACTGGTGTGAGAATTGTGCAGTGCATATGCGTCTGCAAAGCTGCAGACCAGTCAAGGTGCCCACTGCCCAGTATGGTGCTCAGTATGGACATTTTCACTACTCAAACTTACATTTGTAATGTATTGTCATGTCATGTGCTCCAAGTTCAAGATCCTTAGTTCCAGTTTATCTTTCGTTTGTTTCTTGTTGTACGTATGTACTTAGTTTTAGTTCGTTTTTTCCAGCAGTAAAGCTGACACTTTAAGTTAAATGATCAAAGAACTGACCTCACAGCCCACTGTTCATTCAGTGGGCTAGTCTCAGTTATTGTGCAAATGTACTGCTTATAAGGTTGGGAAAACCAGCAGTCAGCTGACACTGAAGAAGTCACTTTGATGAGTGACGAAAAGTTTCTCCCACTAAAAAAAGCTATGTCCAGATGAACAGAATCAACTTTTTGGGACACTTTAAGCTAAGTTTACCATCTTTGAGTCTAGCGTTTGGGTCCAACCCCTGCCTGCCACACAGCTCACCTTGACACATTTCTCTGCAGACGATCAGTTAGCTGTTTGACGACTACTCTTTCTAGAATTTTCAGAGGGCCCGGTGGCGCCAGTGTTCGGCAGCCTCGCCTCTGTCAGTGCGCCCCAGGGCAGCTGTGGCTACAATGTAGCTTGCCATCACCAGTGTGTGAATGGGTGGATGACTGAATGTGTAAAGTGCTTTGGGGTTCTTAGGGACTAGTAAAGCGCTATACAAATACAGGCCATTTACCATCTTCTAAATTAGTGGATGCCATTTCCTCTGCAGCTTGCGAATTATTAATTCTACTTTAAGGTGCACATTTGAGAGTTATACCAAGGAGTCAAGTACTTCTGATTTAAGACTTTCTTTTTCAGAGGAACTACAGTGTCCAGGGTCAGATACCGTGAAGATGTAAAATTATCAACACGATAATCGACCTTGGATGGAGCAGAGTTCAGGTAACTGCTCCACACTGTTTGTACATGGCATTGAAGATGACAAAAGACGATTAATTATATCTTTAAATTAGTTCTAACACTTAGAAAGACATCTACTGTGGTGAAATCTATTCCCAACTGCTGTGTAATCCATTATTGTAAATTGTAAATTTAACCATAGACCCAGATGGAGTTTTAATTTGAAAGTCTAACTCTTAGCCTTGTCCATCCTAATTGGAAAACTCAAAAACCCACTGACTTTTTTTCTGATTTAGTACTCACTTCAGATCAAATAACTATTGTGTGTGATTTTAATATACATATAGATGCTGAAAGTGA